CATAGCATAAGCAGAGAAGAAGGATAAAAGAGGGTCAGCTCATAGCTGAGTGAGATAATCATAGCATCGTGAGTTCATAACCAGCATACCCCTACCATACATCTAACAAACAAGCCAAAGCACTAGGATCAGATCTCAGCTCTCCGACATCCCAATAGGCAAAAGACTCAACCACCTTGACTTATGCAAATGCATCTTATCATGTTTTACTTATAGGCGCCTGGCTACCCCCATGCTAATAACTCTCCCGGGAAACATACCCCACATCCCGTCGGATGTAGTCATACATACCCCAACATCCCGTCGGATGTGGTCATACATACCCTACACCACTATGGGTGCAGTCATACCCCGACACCGCTCTGGGTGTGGTCATATCTCATAAGAATTCTTCAGTCACCACCAAATGAGAGGTGTGACTATCATACATATCATAATAGAGTAATAGCATAGGGAGCCCTAATTACTATGTAGTTGACCGTGAGACCACAACATTCATATTTGGTATCCTTGTACATGATTCATATCTCATCTTGCTTAACCATAATTTGTTACTTGGACATGTTCTTGACCTGGCCACAATTGGCTCAACATAACCAGGAGTCTTATAATTGCACTTCCTCGGGATAAACCCTCGTGCAAGTCATCCTCCTTAAAACATCATAATATCACCAGGGAAAATATATATTTTCCCACTTGTGCATTCAAATACAACAATCATGAAAAATCATACCTAATCACCTTCTCGAACCATCGTAAAGCATATTAACAGTCAAGCCCACAATTTGCAACATATACACAATCATCAGCATAAACAAGGTTCATATCGATTAGGGCAAGTCAATAATATCATACAGCAATCCAGGTTTCAACATATAGCACAAAAGTTCATACACCCCTAATCATGCCATTCTAGTTCACCTAGGTCAATTCTAAGCATCAACATAATTATCGTGATACGACAAACCCGGTATGCAGTGCTATTCCCTCACCAGTTCTGGTCATTCAAACCCCGATTTAACCTTCCCGTACTAAAACGTCAATTTCACGAACGAACCCCGAATTAAAATCCGAGACCGTCCTAATATCCCCTGCAGTATCCCCGTCAATATTAGTTCTAGGCTCCGGGTTTAATTCTCGATAAAACACATCAAACCCTGGCCGGAGCTAAATTCAGCGATCCCGGCTCCGATCTAAATAATAGCCAAAATTCAGGGATTAGAACTAGGGAATTGATTACCTCGCGGTAGGAAGCTCGTATATGAAATTTGGGCTCAATCCGGCTTCCGGATACTCCGAAACCCTAATTTGGCAGATCGGGAATTCAAGAAATTCCTGAACCAAAAACTCGTTTGAAAGCTCTAAATCAATAAATCACGATGTATAGATGAATTAGGCATTACTTACGGGATTTTTGGATCACTTATGCTCAAGAATTGAGCTCTGAGGTTTCCCCCCTTTGCTTCCCCTGAGCTTCCTCTGTTCGCTGTGCTCTCGGTCCAAATGGAGAATGAAAAGAAGATGATGGGGAAAGACACGCACCGGGTGAATTAAATGGACATATATATATATATATAATTAATATGTATATTTATCCGATCGATCGATAATCCGTTTTTTTCCCGAAATAGTGTCGAAATGCTCGATTTTAAATCGCGAACTTTCTAGCGATCGAAATACGATTTTATCCAAAACGGGATGTTACAATATGGCCCCACGGCCGGCGTACATTCAATCGCCAATCCTACACCCTCCCGTGGCGGCAAACAATTTCGAGATCAAGCTGGCCCTAGTGACTATGATACAGAACAATGCTTTGTTCCACGACCTTGAGAGCGAGTCACCAAGAGAGCACGTGCAGAGATTCTTGGAGCTCGCGGGAGCTTGAAAATCAATGGTGTGCCAGGCGAAGCTTTGCAACTAAGCCTTTTCCCTTATTCACTTGCGGGAAAAGCACTCCGGTGGCTAAATAATCGCCCACCTCAGTCAATCACCTCATGGGACGACCTCCTCAACAAATTCATGACTCGCTACTGCCCGCCTTAGAAGACGGCGGAGTAAGAAAGAAGATTACTCATTTCAAGCAAAAAGAGGGCGAGACCTTGAGGGACGCTTGGGAGAGGTACTCCGATTATTTTCTTCAGTGCCCTCACCACGGGTTTGAAGAACAGTTTCGGATTGAAACCTTCTACGGAGGTCTAATGCAAGAAGACAAAATTCTCATTGACTCCTTGTGTCATGGGATTCAAGTAACCAAGATACTTGAAGACATGGGCCTTAGGGGGTATGATTGGGGATTGACTAGAAGTCGGAGGAGAATCAATGATAGGGGAGTGAGAAGCGTGGGAGCAAGCGCTCCGCTTGAGGCGAAGTTGGATAAGTTGATAGAGGTAATGCTTAAAGATAAGAGACAAGGAAAAAGGCTGGTGATGTCGTGGGACTGGTGCTCGAGCACTAGCCATGAGATGGCGGAGTGTCAGGCAATGAAGGAGGCAACCGCTCCGGAGGAACAAGTCAACTTTGTGGCAAATTCTAGGGCTAACACCCCATATAGCAATACTTATAATCCCGGATGGAGGAACCACCCAAATTTTCTTGGTCATCACCGACTAATCTGAGGCCCCCGGGTTTTCAAGGCCCCACGGGAAATTACCAACCTCGGCCGACCTTCATCCAACAAAGGCCTCAAGTCCAAGGCTCAAGCTTCCAACAACCGTACCAATCACAAGGTGGCCAAGGGTTTGAACAACAACAACAACAACAACCCGACAAGCTATCTAAACTTGAAGACCTAGTGAACACCTTCGTGAGTACGAGTGCTCAAAAGTTCGATAAGATAGAGCAACTTATGGATGTGGCGACTACCAAGTTTACCTTGATCAAGGCGGGTCTCCGAAGCCATCAAGCGAGCCTCCAAAGTTTGGAGGTGCAAATTGGCAATATTGTCGGCATCCTCACCGAGAGACCAAAAGGAAGCCTTACCTTCCCAAACCATGGCAAACCCCAAGGACCATGCCGGGGTGAATGCAATTCAAGTGGGAAGTGTAAAGGTGACTCCGAGAGTCACCACCAAAGAAGTGATGAGAATGAAGATACCAACCCGAAGGATGGAGAGAAGAATCCCTCAATGAGAGAGAGAAAGGATGCAATGAAGGCATCGCCGACACCACCCCCGGTGGTTGAGTACACGCCACCTCTTCCTTACCCCACGAGGATGTACAAGGAGAGGTTGGAGAACGAGTGTGGAGGTTTCATGGAAATGCTCCGCAACCTCCACCTCAATATCCCTTTCCATGAAGCCATGTCTCAAATGCCAAGATATGCCAAGTACCTCAAAGGATTCCTCACCAATAATCCAAAGCTTAAAGGCCTCGCCAATGTGACTCTTGACGAGGAGTGTTCGGCTTTCCTCCTCAACCGCTTGCCCAAAATGCGGTCCGACCCAGGTAGCTTTACTATCCCTCTTGGTATTGGTAACCATCATATAGATAATGCCTTGGTGGACCTAGGAGCTAGTGTTAATGTGATGCCCTACAAGATTTTCAAAAATTTAGAAGTGGGTGAACTTAAGACCACTAAGCTTAGCATCTCTTTAGCCGACCGTTCGGTCATTAGCCCGAGAGGCATTGTGGAGGACATGTTGGTGCGAGTGGGCAAGTTTTGCTATCCGACCGATTTCGTGATTCTCGATATAAGCGAAGACTCAGATATGCCGCTCATACTCGGTCTCCCACTCCTCGCCACCGCCAAGGCATTGATAGACATTAATGAGGGGACCTTAATTCTGAGGGATGGTGAGGAGAGAATCAAGTTTGAAATTGACTCTAAGGCTAGAAGTGAGGAAGTGAAGGAGTTGGTTTCAAATGATGTGAAAGAGAGTGGAGGAGAGCCTCTAAAGGCAAACCCCACCATTACTTATGTTGCTTGTGGTAATGTTGAGCAGGAAGTCAAGGAGGGTGCTATGCCCAAGGAAAAGAAGAAGAATGCTTGGAGGCAAAAGATGAAGGAAGCTTTGGCCCGAAGGAAGGAGAAGGCCAAAGCCTTGCCCCAAGAGTGTGGTGGATCCACTCTCGGTGGCATTACGTTCCAAGACGTGATTGATCCCCAACCGGCAAGCTAATGACGATAACTTAACGCTTGTTGGGAGGCAACCCAACAGAGGTTTGTTTTCTTTTCCTTATTTTCGTTTTTGTGTCAAATGAAGAGTTCGAGTGGTCAAGTGGTGTCCCCGTGCCAAGTTTTGCAGTTTTGAAATTTAAGGTTGTGTTGTGATTGATTAGGAGGCACGGTGGAATAGGTTGAGTCAAATTTTGCTAAGAAGTGCCCTGTTTTCACTGATGTTCACGGACGAATTGCTGAGTTCACGGTCTTGTTCACCGCCTGTCGACCAACCCCAGTTCACGGACGTATTTGAGTGTTCACGGTCTCTAAGACCGTGAACAAGGCAATGCGTCCATGAACTCCGTGGTGTCCCTATAAAAGGGGCGTGAACGGCGATTCTTCACTTTACGACCCAAATCTCGCCGGAAAATTCAAATTCTCGCTGGAAAACTGCGAAATTCAGACGTTTTTTTTCAAAATTTCCCCATTTCTGTCGAGCAAAACCCAAAACTAACTTCATACCCATTCTCCCCCCGTCAAAACTGGCCTATGCTGTGATTTTGGGGAGATTTGGGGAAAGTTTTTTCCAGTCAAGTCGTCGGCAGAGTCTCCCAAGCTTCCGACGAAGCTCCGGCAACCCCCCTCCGGCCTGTTTATCAGCCATTTTTCGCCATAATCGCCCACACCTCACTTCCTCCTACGCCCTACTTGTGTCTCCAGGTTGGTTTTTCAGCTCTACCTTATTAATTTGCGAAGAATCGGATTAGGTAGTGAAGTGAGGATGATTTTTGTGCTTTTGCATGTTGAACCTAGATTTTGGGCGAGGAATTAGGTGAACTTGGTCGATTGAATGGTGGAATGATTTTTCATGAGCTTAGTTGAACCTTGGTGGGCGTGTTTGAATCGAATTGTCTTTCTTTTCAGAATTTGCCCACCAAGTGCTATTTTGTGAATGCTTGAGAACATTTATGCTTGTTTGGTGGATGGTAGCCACCGTGGTTTGGGTTGTGGTCCGTACTTTTGTATGAATGAACTGTGAAATACCCACAATCATGCCACGGTGTGCTTAAGCTTAAATGTTTGATATCCATGGCGGGAATATAGGTGTGGGGAGAATCTATTTTCCTCCCAATGAGCAATATTTGATGATTGTTTCCACATATGGTGCTGGTTTGCTGATTTGTACAGGATGGTTAACATGGACCAGCCATACCCCGAGGCCCTTGGAGTGAAAGCCAAACATGAGGACGATTGGGAGGAAGACGCCATCCGAAGTTTTGACGCGAATGCCACATTTCTGAAGTTTTGCCTTCCAAAGTACCGAAGGAAAAAGTTTAGGTCGGCCCTCACATTGGCATCTACACTCCAACCCCAGTGGCGGGTCATTGTTGCACTCCTGGCTCGTTCCCCCTACTCGGCGTACCACAACCCGAACAAGATAACCGAGAGAATTTTATTGGCGTGTTCTTGCATGGTGGACCTATCTAGCACTCTGCATCTGGGTTTAGTCATGGCCGCTTCTTTTTCTAGGGCCAAGAGGGAAACCATTGTTATGTCACATCGATGGGTCCCTACATCACTCGCCTTGCTCGATACTTCAATGTCATCCTTGCAGGGTGCTCGAGAGAAGGGCACACCTAGAGGTTTGACGAGGGTACCTTGCACTCCATGCGCTTATTGCGCACCTTTGGACCAATTCAGTACATTGTGGAATTGAGTCCTGATCTTGAGGGCCCACCAGCAGAGCAGCCACATGCTCGAGCACCCGGCCGCTGCCGGCGTCCCGCTCTCCAGCGCCCAGCCCAGCCACCACCAGCAGCAGCAGACGGTAATCCCCTTGTCCAGAAGGTGGATCACCTTGAGACGAGCTTCCCGGGAGTGACTTCCTGCCTCGACCGATAGACTGATCTCCTCGAGCTGATGGCTCAACGTCAGGGCCTCCTTCCAGATGAGAGGGAGGGTCCTTCCACCCGCGAGAGGTAGCTGACGAGTGAGACATGTGACAGAGCCGATTTCTTTCGCCCCACTTCTCCACTTATAACTCTGAACTTGTTTTTTTTTAGTTTTCTTTCTTTTGTGTGTGTGACCATAAACTACTACTACTATCATATTGTGTTTATAATAACCTCACCACGAGCGAGTCGTATTGTGTGTGTGTTTTTATCTCTCCTTGAAGCTCCAAATATCCTACCCCAGAGTGGATTCCAACTATCACTCACCAAGCCCAAGCGGTAACATCATTCTACCCCTTTCTTATGTCATTGAGGGCAATGTCGAGCTTAAGTGTGTGTGTGTGGGGGGGGGGGGGGGGGGTAGTATACTATTATGCTTGTGTGAGTGTGATTGATGTTTGGAGCCTTATGTATGCCCAAATTTCAAAATTTTGAGGGCACCAAGCAATGTTTGCATGATCAAAGTGGCCGGTGTGTGGGAAAATCTCGTGTTTATTGGCATTGACCTTGAATTGGTGCATGTGATCGAGTATATCCTATGATGATGACTGAGAGGTCCATTAGGATAGTGCAAAAGTTTAGTTCTCATGTGTGCATAAATGAATGGATGTCTTGACTCGATTACTTGTTGATTACAATTGCCATGCATTGTGTTTGTGAATTGGAATAGATGGTTGGGTGACTAGGTAGCCATGTGAGCTTTGAGCCAATCGTTTTCTTCTTGTGTGTTTAGATCCCTCTTACCATGGCGAGTAACATCAGATTTGTCACTAGTGAGTATGATGGAGGCATAGGATTAGTCCACGCCCAAATGTTGATTGTCCCAAAATGTGTTATCCACTAGTCAACCCCTTTGAGCCTTGTGACTTCGAGGGTCATTCTTAAGTTAAGAGCTTCGTGCTTGTGAGCTTAATGGTGTTGATAGAACGACCCCCAATCCTTTCTTCGTGTCTAAACATGAGTCATCCTTGTGTCTCGGAGCTCTCACTTTTGAGTTCCATAGAGGTTCTACATAGGAGGTTTGTGTGCGATCCTTGCTAGGAATGAAAAATAAAGTGTAGTGTTGGAGTGATTTCTTGAAAAGAGAGCATGGGTCGCTAAATGTATAGGTGGCAAAGGTTTTACTCTCTAGTACCCCCCTCAAAAATAAAATAAAATAAAATAAATAAAAGAGAAACGAAAAAGAGGTAATAAAACAGGGTAAATAAAGTAGAGAGTGCCACGGAAAACCAAAGTGTATGCTCTAGGGGGTTCTTGGCACTCAACCCATTGAAACCCCCACATTGTTTTAGAACTCCTTCACTACCAAACCTTAATGTGATAGCGAGAGTTGACTGAGGAAGAGCGCTTAAATGTAGTTCACGATGGGTGATAGTATGGAAGGGAGAGATAAGGTTTTTGGCCGATGCTAGTGGCCTTTGGTTGAAGAGAAGGATTTTAGTCGGAACCATAGAATCTTCGTGTTTAGGTCAAAGATGTAGAACCTCACTTCATGATTGTGACCACCCAAAAAGCATTTTCCCCATGTCCAAGATAATTGCCAGTCATCTGAACCCGTGTCTAAGACCCCTGGACAAGCTAGTGATAACAATCATCCTGTGAACTCTGGCATTTAGAGGTTACCGTCGTGGTATTAAGACAATAGGGTCGAGTGTTGATGATTGTGCACATCTTTTACAACAAAAAGGTCCCAACCCCACTGGTCTTGAGAGTGAGCGATTCATTCTTGTTTTACATGCCATATCATACCTCGGTGAGGACCTTTGTTGCCTTTCCATTTGTTCCTCGGACTTGAATTCTATGCATGGTTAGTTGTGGTTGATAAGTGGTCTTGTAGAGACTTGCATTGATCCATGAACCAGGTGTGAACTTTTTGTTTGCCCACTTTTGGTGGTCTCAAATGTTGTTTGTGGTGGATGTCGGTATAACTTGCAATGGTCCATGTATTAATTGCCAATAGCCATTGAGAATTCCCACTTTGAGCCCTTTGAGTTGTCCCCAAAGTATTTGTGTAGGTTGAAATATTACCTTGTGTGAAATGGTTTGTTTGGGGACAAGCAAACGTCTAAGTGTGGAGGAGTGATTCAGGCCTAATTGTACATATTTTACCCCCGTTTTCCTTAGGCGTTTGTGGCAATTGTGCTCCTAAAGGGGTGGTTTTACGCAAGGTTTCTTCTGTTTTAGCATGTTTTAGGATGTAACAGGTGAACCCAGCCCTGGAGTCAAAAGTTGGACGAAAAGGAGTGAAAATCGAGAGAAGAGGTGAAAAAAGGCAGTTCACGGCTTTTCTTGGATGTTCACAGTCTGCTTAGACGGTGAAGAGGAGCTGTTGCCGGTGAACATCAAGGCGTTCAAGGCCAAATCTCAAGTTACTGACGCTAAATGAGTTCACGGTCACTAAGATCGTGAACTGGAGTTGTTGCCCGTGAACCTGTGCAAGCGAAGCGGTAAGTTTTGACACTCATCTTGAGTTCACAGACGCGTTTCAGAGATCACGACCATGAACTGAGGCCATGTACTGACCACGATCCCGGTTTAAAAGAAGAGCTGAAAGGAAGAGAGAGGGGAGAGCCCAAGAGTGAGAAAGTGCCTTCTTCAGATTTTAGAGAGAGAAAGGACAAAACAGAGGAGAAGGAGGCTAGGGTTTTGCTCCAAGTGGTGATTTCGAAAGATTCTCCACAAGATAAGTTCATCACAAGTGAAAAGAAGATTGGAAGCCTCTCCATGATGGTTTCTACCTCTTCACCTTGTGTTTCTCCCATTTCTAGCATGGAGTAGATTTCTTTTTCACTTGGTTGTTGTGAAACCCTAACTATCTACAATGTAGTTTTTGCTATGTGAGTTGAATTATTGTTCATGGGTGTTGTTTAATTCAATGATTGAGGTATTATTTGTTGATTGTGCATGTTTGTGCTTAGCAGTCTAATTGGCCAATTTAACCTAGATTAGAGAGGGAAATCCCCCCGTTCAAGGGAGGCTCAATTGAGTTTGTGTTCCGAGGGCTTATTAAGTCACCTATCTAGGTTAGTTTAGGGAAAACCCTGATATTGGATTAAGAAATTTGGTTAAGCGCGATTAAGCCGACCAACCATTGGGTTGAGTGAGGGAGTAAGTTAACCATTGATTGCCCAAACCGAGTGGGTCGAGTGACAGCCTATAATGTATCCCTCAGTTTGTCAATGGAGAGTGTGGTCTACGACCATATTTGCATCCCCTAGCGGTTCGCGGTCACCTTGCCCATAGCAATCATTTCGATTCACATACCATGGTAGTAGTTAGGGGGAAGCGACACCCGAGTGATCCTTCTCACAAAGAGCTTTCAAAACCATTTACTTTTACCTTGCTTTACTTTATCTAGAAAACTTTTCAACCAAAACCGACTCGCTAGATAATGATTCAAATGACTGAAGTAGGGGTATACGGACCAGCCCGAGTTGATATTTAAACATACTTGCCCTGTACTGCACCCGACTAAGGTTTATACTTGGACCTTAGGCGGGAATTAATTGTGGTATTCGGAACGAGTCAATGTTCTCCACCTTTGTAGCAAGCTCAATATCACAGTTAAATAACTAAATACCGATTTTAATAATTAAATTCTCAGTTCCCTTCATCCCAACCAATTGTGTTAATTAAACCCACAACTCCCTTCATCCGGCCGTTGCATGTTGTGAATTATATTAAAGAATATCTCTCACTATGAACTGTGCATGGTATTAAAATCTCATTCCAATACAGAATAACACAAATTTATTATTAATATTGATCATCATTTTGATTCACAGCTCGATCAAGTCAGGCATATTGTCGGTGATATGCTCTTCCTCATCCTTTCCTATTGTGATAATTGTGTACTCACTTGTTGGATTAGCGATGTTGTAATTTGTGAGCTTCATGCCAAACTGCATTGTAATTCCCTCAATTTGTTGGAGATGAGTAGGTGGTGGTAATCTAATTCTATCTTGTCTTGGAATAGCCTTTCAGTCGACATTCTAAAAAATCGAGCTCCCTATATCAATAACAACAAAGCCAGCCTCTCCTTTATCAGTAATCTCTCCTCTCCTAATTTATTTCGATGAATAATTATAATAAAAAAATTAAAACTCTCCTATAATCTCTCTCTCTCTTCTTTCTACCGTAAAAAGGCACAAAAACATAAGAGTTTAGGGGCGGTTTTAGGAGAGAGAATATCGGGCTTGTTTTAAAGACTACTAACGTGGACACACGGAAATTGTTTTAGGTTGATGTGGCATAGGCTCAATTCTAAAATTGCTTTAATATATTTTAAGATATATAATTAAAATATTTATAGAATGCTTCCGCATCCTTTTTGGAACTTAAATAGGACATTTGGTGGGCAGTTACTTCAGAAGAATCAGGGAAAATATTGAACTTATTAACAGGGGGACATTGGCAATTGGACCTGACCAATTTATGGAACTGTAATCTCTTACCGCACAAATTAATGAAAATTAAAAGGGCATTGCTTAATTAATGAAATTACGTAAGAGTCCCTCTGTGTGCTATGCGTAGGAGGAAACATAATTGGAGCTGATGGGGTTCCGGAGGAGAACCTCCATATAGTATTGTTAGAATTTAAAGAAGGAAACAAATACTTTTATGCAAAAATTACTCTATCAAATATTGATTTCTAAAACGACAATCCATTTGCAAATATTAGTGAATTATTCAATATTTCATTATTAGCAATTTCTACATCATATTATCTAGATTAATGCTACTTAATACTTAAATTATACTTATTGTAAATTTAGAAATGTGTTGTAAGAAAAATATATTTTCTTTACGTCTAACTCTTAGGGCCTGTTTACTTTCATTTCTGTTTCCTGTTTTTGAGAAAACAGATGTTGAAAACAGGTGAAAACAACATTTTGTTGTTTTCGAAAACAGCAGGAAGTTGCCACTTTCTGTTTTCATAGTTGGAAACGAATAGAAAACATAATGAAAAGCAAACAAGTTTTCTCATTTCGGTTGCCAAATTTATCACATGAAAACAGAAAACTGAAAACGAAAATGAAAGTGAACAGGGCCTTAAGAATTCAATTTGTATTCTATATTTAGCTATCAGGTGTGCGCCTTGATTATTTGTCCTTTCCCTCTAAACCTCTTCATTCCACATCGCAGTTATGTGTTATTATGAAAATCACATAATTAGGTTGAAATTTCACATCAAATGAATCATTTTTTGGTATAGTATACCAATCCATGTAATTTGTGGGTTATTGCATGTCAAGAATTAGTCTAGATATTTGTGTCAATAACCCTTTATTATAAAAGAAAATTGGGCAATTGGTTAGCCTAGTTAGTAAGTTGTATGACCAAATTAAGCCACTAAAACCAAAATCGATAAGAACTTTTAAGAAAACCAATTAGTCAAATTAACTGATCCACGATCGATCAAATACAACTAGTTGATGTATATGACAAATCACTTGCGTATGAGTACGTCATTGATGACAGGGAATTTTCCAAAATATACAAAGTGGATTTTATTTTTGTCATCCATTCATATTTTTATATGCAAACATATTAAAAATTCGAATTGAAATGAAGATGACATGAGTCTTTTTAAAATTTATATGGAGAAAAGAATAAATAGGAGAGAATGTGACATGTGGAGCGATCTAGTTGACCGAAAAATTAATTCATTTTTTATTTTAAAATGAATTAATTTTAATTAGAACACTCTAATTTGTCCCTCCTTCAATCACCCACGTTGGAGGAAATTCATAATGGTGAAAAGAGGATCCTTAAAACTTCATTGTATATTTGGTTGATTACCACAAATTTGGCAACTGAAATTTTATTGACTAAAGGAGGCAAATCGATTAGATTCGTAGATTGGTGAAGTAGATTGTTGGATTCATGGAATAGATTAAATAGATTCTTTGATGAAAGTGCATCTAAACTTTGAATCATTATCTTGAAATGTTTAGACACTAAATTTTTATTATAAAATATAGACACATCTCATTTCATGAATCGGGGGTCGAAGACTATGAAGTGATTTTTTTTTTTTACAATGAAGTGAAGTTATTTATCAGCCAAGC